ATTGTTTACATTTTGATCAGCTGTATAATTTTATTGCTGTTATTTACTTTTAAAATCAATGAAACACATTGAGTACATTTATTTACTATTTGAGTTTGTGTAAACATAACCCCCAAGACGGATCGTGTTAGTATGGTTGTATCTTAAATTTGTGTATTTATCGTTGTTTTGTGTCGCTATGATGGATTGTGTTAGCATGATTGTAACTTAAATTTGTGCATTTATCGTTGTTTTGTGTAGCTATAATTTGTTTATTATTTGTTGTTTATTTCTTTTAAATGTCTCCGACGCAACGACAACGAAACATAGACAGGAGGCGCAATCGTGATAACGACCGCAGCTACAGAACAGTGGCGCGTAATAGGCTTAACTCATCACAGTCCGAACCTGAACCTGGACAACTTCAACTATTTGGTTACAAATGCGCCCTAACACTACCCCAAAACGACTTTTCGTTCTCAATTGGCCCTCTATTAATGACCTGTGTTGCCTGTACAGCGAGGCTTTTTGAGAAGGAGAGAACCGTCCGGAATGCTTTAGGTTTATCAATAACGAAGATAAACAGGGTCTGAGTTACACAACGGTAATATTTGAGTTGACTCTTTTAAACTCATTGTAAAAGACTCATTGTAAGACTGTTATTCAATCTGAAATAACTCCTGTAATACTTTGTAATTGCTCGAATTCGAGCAACATGTACACTAGTAGGCTATTAATCTACAACAAACGAGTGACTTTTACCACCGACTATTAAATAAATTGATGTGTTGTACATTTCAATCATAATAAATTGAAATTCAACTAAAACTTAAATAATAAAAGACAAAATTAGTTGTAAAAAACGCGAGTTTCCTTTATATTGTTTTAAAAAAATAAATGAACTACACCGAGCCATGGCTCGGTCCCCAGGTTTTTTATTTGAAACTAATTCTAATTCAAAATAAATGTTAGTAACTCGTGAGGATTAACAACGCAAAATTTGCACTTTTGTACATGAAAACTACATATACATCGTACTTTACTTAACAAAACGTTTTATTTTCACCAATAAACCATAATCCAACAGTACATTTTATTATTTACCATATACGTTTTACATGTATGTATGATAACATAAATCTTTTGCCAAATTAATATATTTTTTACGGGAAATGACTTTCGAGGGTTCTTATACTGAACAATTGAATAAACTAAATAACTAAAAACTATTTGAATCACCTATTCTCACCACAATATGGCTCACACTGGTGGGGATTAGCGTACAACCACAAACTATAGAACCAATAATTAATAGTCTGTTATGTGTGGTACAATCTACTACCACAGACAATCATTTGTCTAAGTTACTACATGCATAAAATAAGCTGAATAAGTTAAGTCAAAGTTGATACATTGTTAGACTAGGTTTTATTGTAAAATAAACTAACGTGCTACATGTTTTTTATAACCAAAATGAATTTTTTTAGTTTTTTTCGTGTATTTTGAAAAAATGTAGTTAGAAAGTTTTAAAATTTAAAAATAATTGATATATTAGTATTTGATTATTGAGTCATATTGGTGTTAGTAAAGAAAGTACAGTTAGATGTAAATGAAACATCTATAAATTAACCCAATATCGTAATCAAACAATTGCTGATTTTTCCGAAGAAATATTTTATTTTCAAAATATCCTAACTTTCTTTTTAACTACTTATGGAAAGTACATATTTCTGAAGGACATAGAAAGGCATCTAATTTAAACCCACTTTGGGTGTTTATACTTTTATAGGCAGTTTAACAATGCCCACCCAGAAACCGGTGAGACTAAAACATAAACAAAAGAACGGAAATGAGTGAAGGTGTAACCAGTTACAATAGTGTTACAGACTCATTCATTCGTCGGTGCAAGTCATATTGTTGTGATGTGCATTGTTTCAACTTACCTTTTATACCTTCTCTGAGATGATTTCTAATTAAATGATTTCTGTAAAGTTTGGTATAATGTTTTGGTTGACTAACACCAGGTGTATGTATCTTTCCTATAACAATTGTTCAATCCTGGGTTCACCAGCTTCTTAAAATATGTTAGTAGTTATCGTTTGAGTAGGATAATTGAAAGTTTTTGGATCAAATTGTCATTTATGCGGAACTATCAGTTTTCTCGAGTTATCCTTATTATGGTCTTTGAATTTTAATGACATGAGTTGACAACGACATTTTTAGTGAGGAAAAGTGCGACAAATACTCGTAATTATGTCGTGGATTTACTCTAGCATTTTTGTCCTACCCTAAAAACAAACATGTAATTCCATACTTTACTTGGTGATAATAACTGTCGGACAACAATATAATATTCCGAGAGAAAATAAATAAATCATAGTTTTTTACAACAATTCTAAGCTGTAATTTAACTTAAAATGGTTTACAATACCTGCATATAGTAATCCTTTGTTGCTGATTTAGGCAACTAGTTTCGGTTCTTGTTTTGAACCATCTTCAGGCCTCAAGGTGTCAAGTGATCACTTCATTCGAAGGTCGTTAACAGAGTTCAATAAATAAAACATATACAAAACACACATATACACATGTACATAAACAACATATACACATGTACATAAACAACATATACACATGTACATAAACAACATATACACATGTACATAAACAACATATACACGGAACGGACACACATTACAAAAAACACGAAAAACACGAAGGGACATTGACTTTACCTCAGCCCGGTCACGATCGATTGTCAAGGTCCCTTCGTGTTTTTCGTGTTTTTTGTAATGTGTGTCCGTTCCGCGTATATGTTGTTTATGTACATGTGTATATGTTGTTTATGTACATGTGTATATGTGTGTTTTGTATATGTTTTATTTATTGAACTCTGTTAACGACCTTCGAATGAAGTGATCACTTGACACCTTGAGGCCTGAAGATGGTTCAAAACAAGAACCGAAACTAGTTGCCTAAATCAGCAACAAAGGATTACTATATGCAGGTATTGTAAACCATTTTAAGTATAATACAGTAATCCGGAGGCTAAACAACTATTTCTGTAATTTAAATTGGTTCAGTCTACCTTTTGTTTAGAACTTTCCATCATATGGCTTATATTAGAAGCCAAATACAAACTCGATGGGACTAAAATATTTTCCTAAAAGTAAAAACACCAAATAGTTTATTTTTCAACGCTCTAGTGTTAGCTTTAACTAAACTATGTTATTGGCTGAAAAACACATTAGTACCCCCTTTATTTTAGAGCGAAGATATGATAAAACAAAACAACCATTTAACTATCTCAAGGGTCGATTCTCAACGCAAATAGAAACACCATTATCCAAACTGAACAAAAACAAGATCACGTAAAAACACGACAGTAGTAAAGTAAAATGTTGTACACATTTTTATCTGCACACAATTAACTAACAAGATAATGGCCCAGTAGACAGTAGTTATCTGTTTCAACAGGTGTAATCAGGTTTACAGCAAACCCTTCTAAAATAGGCGCCGTAGACGACTGCAGGCGCCGAAATAACATACTAGATCTGCAACAACCAACGGTTAAAACGGTCACTAGAAGTGTCATTGTTCCTATTCAGTCAGTTGGAAAAGGTAAAAAATTAAATACATAGTTGGGTTATTGGTGACTCCAAAATAATATTTACCTACGACCGTTTTTGAAAGTAGCCATTTCAGTCCAGTTCTTAGAATTGAAAAGTTTCACTTTACAGCTGTTTACTTTCATATCAGCATAGTTTCATTTCATATCAGCATAGTTTCATTTCATATCAGCATAGTTTTTCTCATATCAACACAGGTAACGGACTAATGAGGTTCAAGTATTGAGAGAAAAGAATTAAAATTTTAATGCTTCGAACGTCAACTAATCAGCTGATCAGCTGATCAGTTGACCAATTTAATTGTTGATCCGACTTGTTCCTGTTGATACTCGCGTATTCTTAGCCTAAGTTAGTGGAAGTCCAAAAATAAATGAAATATTTGCCGAATTGTACCTGATACAATATCATTTATGGTAAGAATGCTGCTAGCAATGTAATATTTAACGAAGTTTAACAAACACGTAATTACAGGAAATCAGCTGATTATACAACAAGTCGTTGCATCACTTTCAGTGGCAATGACAATACACAAAAACATAACCTCTCTAAAAAGTTATCAGTAGTGATTGTTAGTAATTAAATCCAGATTGATAGTAATTAAAAAACGGTCGTAGGTAAAGTAGTGTACGCAACTCGCGTTAATAGTCTTTACGACACTCGTAGAAGTTTTTAAGGCACTCGCCAAGGCTCGTGCCTTAAATTTTCTACTCGTGTCGTAAAGACTCACTTAACGCAATCGTTGCGTAAACTGCTATTTTAACTTCGAGAAACGTTTACAGTGTAACCGTATTAAAAATAGAATGTGTTAATTATTGTAGACTTTTTGAGATTTACTTAAACAATTAAAAGCTTTTTCACCTTCGGTATAATGCATGGTCACTCTTGAGGGTTTCTATTTATCCATCAGTCCGACTCGATGTTAAAACAATATGGTTTCTACAATTAATAAATCAAGTGCTTTCTGTAAAATTTAACCATGCCTTTATTGGTTAGAATTTAGACGCCAGTTCTCACAAACGTAATCGTTTGTTGAAATTTCCCATGCGAGTAGAATTTTGATGGATTTAAGGCAATATTCAAATGACCGTGGTACATTAAGCGGAACCCAAAAACTAATTAACGTATTGTTAGTTAGAACTCTAAAGAAAGGCTCGGCACTCTCGAAGTGTAAAATTACTGCTGTATTTTCGTATTCTATTAAATGAAACGTATAATTTAAACTCTGGAAAAAGATAAAGGACGCATTCTAGATAACTACTGCGAAAAAATCAGGTGACATGCTTAAATAAGTTGAGTTAAACACAATTCCCTTAAAGTGTATAATATTCGAGTTACTGTGTATATATTTTCTATCAAACTAGACAAATGTTAAAAACAGACTGTTTCTTGTTACAGGAGTGTGCACCAATGCCACAGCACCCTCCGTCAGCAGTATCAACCGCATACTGCGGAACAGGGCGGCCGAGAGGGCGGCGGCGGAGTTCGCGAGGGCGGCAGGCTACGGGCTGTACCACCCTCCAGCCGCCCACCCTTACGCCTCCTTCCCCTGGCCACCTCCAGGGCTGTGGTCCGCCCCTACGCCGCCTCCACAACAACTCAGGGCACCGGGCAGTCCGGGCGACCTCATGCCTCGCCTCATCGGTGAGTAGTTCTCATTGTAGAATGCCAAGCTCTAGCTCGGAAGAGTTTTATACTTGAGGCTAGGTAAAGAGAGTCGCAGCCTTGATTGGCGTGGTGAGTTTAGAATACTGTAGGTGAGGTTAGAACCCTGCGATCAACTGCCGTACCAGACCCAGACAACAATTGTGTCTTTATTGTTTTGATGTTATCTACGGTATTTAAATTTTTTACGTTGATTGTAAGGAAACGGTCGAAACGCTGGTATGGCTACCGTCAACCTTTTGCTAGATAGAACAATAAATGGCTAGCCTAACGACAAATGGCGTGTGTCCAGTAACCCAGAAATCAAACCAGCGACATTCATATTTGAAGGCCTAACCTGAGATGGCATATTTAAAGTTGTTAAACAGCCGATATGAATGAACTTGAATGATCTTATGTCATTATTTTTATTAACATTTAATTATAAACGCATTTTTATGAGTTTAGGGTATCCGCGATGCTTGCGGACACCTTGTAGACACATCAATGTGACAGAGTATGACCGTGTTTTAGTTACGGCTGATAGGATCGGTAGACGCGTGCAGGATGCGCTGAGTTTCCGGCTACCGATACACGAAACACGCGTTTGCAGCTTGTATCGTGTGTAATTATTTGTGCTTTAAGTTGTTCTCATACATCTCTGTGACGGACGGAAGGATTTTTCAAACGTATTTGTTTATTCTTAGAAGATTCACATAAACTAGAACCCCTATATACTTTGGAAATTCCAGTTTGAATAAAAACGTGGTGTACAAGGTACCATGTGTTTTAGAAATAACGTTTATATTAGTTGAACATTATTTTAAGTTGTATCACAATGTTTGGCTTTTGTTCTACTGAAAAAATATCAAGCGCAACTAAAACTGTGACTTTACGACCAGGGTTAAGTTCGAAAGTGCTGGTCAGGGAGGGCCAAGAAGTAGTAAGGAAATAATTCCAACCAGATACAATATTTAGTAGCATCTTTTGTGTTTGTTAGTAAGCGGTATACTGTATCGGTTGCTGTAGTAACCAGTTCTGTTCTATGCAGGAGACCTTGACGCCAAAGACGACGAGAGTGCGAGCAGCGCGGATGGCTCAGAGCAGCCAAAGTTCCGGAGGAATCGCACAACCTTCTCCCCTGACCAGCTGGACGAACTGGAGAAAGAGTTTGACAAGAGTCACTACCCTTGTGTGTCGACGAGAGAGCGACTAGCTGCCAAGACCAGCCTCAGCGAGGCCAGAGTCCAGGTGAGGTAAACTAGAGGTTACCTTGTATAGTAAGTTAAAATTATTATTATCTCCGCTCCTCTTAACAGCCCAGACCCTAAATATTTATTTCGAAGCCTCCAAAAAAAGCGACAGCCTTAAATCTTCCTGGACCAGGATTAGCCTACCCAGCCCATTTCCACTCATCATTTCGTGACTTCTTCAACCACCTCGACCTGAGATACATTGACCAAACCCGAACCTCAGAAACTCACTGCAGCAGTTTCGTCCACTGCTACTTCACCAATCCCACCAATCCATCGTTTCATTTCAATGTAATTTAAGTTAACACGTATCAATGGTTCTCTTGTCATGAAAAGTATTTACTATATAAACCGATACCGTAACAAGAAAAATATTTATACATACAATGTTTCAGTGTCTTTTTATATATGAAATAACAGGTTATTAGGTTTAATTTATTGCAGTTCCACTTACTGCAGTTACCTCAAAACGCTTTATTACGTTTACTGTAACTATTGTAACAAAACTAGTTAACGCTTTATGGGTAAGGGATTTTAATTAAAATTGTCGGTTAATAGTTCACCGTTTAACTGCTTATCATTTACTTAAGAGTAAGGACTTTTCGTTTAAATTGTTATTAATTTATTAGAATGAAACGAGGTAAATTTAGAAATATAAAAAATATTATGATTCTTAAAAACCAAAAGTCCCCGTTATAGAGTATCCTATTAATTGTCTACGGCTTGTTCAGCTATTGAATTTATGATGGAACAATCGTAAAGCGTAGACAGGGAAACAACTCAATTATTTTTAATTGGCTGTCATAAAACGATCTAAGCGACATCTATGTAGCCTTGTAAGTGATGGCAATTAACCAATGGTCAGTGATGCCTCTAAACAGCTTAACTGTGGGAGAAAAGGTGGGTTTTACGTGCAATAAAATAAAGAAGCGTTTTGGAATTGTGGTAGTCTTGGAGTAGGTCACATTAACTTACTTTCCTTCTCTAATAATAAGTGTATATTTAATCAGCTTTGTTAGGTGAGTAACATTTTAAACTAAAAATTTATAATAACGTGATTAGCTCTACCAGCTTGGTTTGAAAATAAGACTTAGGGCTCACCGAAAGGATATTTGATCTGGTTTTATTAAAAAAGCTGCATTACAACATGTATATCATGATTTGACATTTGTTCCTAGATTTGAGTTTGTATTTTAATATATTCCCGCGATATTCTTTTTTTAACACAAAATTAAGGTCAATACCTACCCACAGCGTGAGTGCAAGATAATGAAGATGCTTTATTTTTTCATTCGTAGGCTTAAGTCCATTCGTAGGTGTCATCACTGAATTGTAAATATTTCGGGTAGAGCCGCGTCTGTCGTATCAATGAAACACACAATCGACACAGTTGGAATGCACGACATCGACTAGCCTAAGTTTAATCAATGCTCGTTTACATTTACTCAGCTGATTTACTGTTTGCCCAAACCAAAACAACATCTGATTCAATCTGTCTGACTGACAGGTGTGGTTTTCCAACAGACGAGCCAAGTGGAGGCGCCACCAGAGGATGAACCTGCTCAAATCTAGGAGAGCGGGAGCCACCAGCGCCACCAGTCAGGGACGTCAGGGCGCCACCACCTCGGAGACACCTCTGACCCCACCATGGGCGCCCCGTCACATGGGAGGCGAACACAGCGCGTTCAAAGCGTTCCCACAGACAGCAACGGAGGCTGAACGAAGATACGCTTCTTCGGAAACGTCTGAGGAAATCAACGTGACGACGGACGACGAAGACTCAAACCTCGGCGAGGACCGAGGGAGCGAAGAACTCAGCAAGTTATCTCAGGCTGACGTCAGAGCATCCATAGAGTCCTGGCGGGAGATGGCGGCGCTGAACGTGCTGAGGGGTGATCCGTCCATGTTCTCACCTCCGCCTTCGCTAGGAGAACCTCTGTATCCTTCTCCTACACAACCCTTACCTCTCACTAAACACGACAGACTGTGACCAGGACTAACGCATATCGTATGGGATAAGTTACATTCCTTTTAGCTGTTAGTATAATTTATTACGTAATTGTGACGAAGGCTTAATTCAATTATATCTCTTTTTGAAAATCAAATATATCAATAGTTGGGCGTAAAAAAAATAATGTTTTTCATACACTTCAGTCTAACGATTGTACTTAAACGAATTGTATTTACTATCTGAATGGTGTTATGGAATCTAATTGAAATAACGTGATTGAGACGTTAAGGCACGTGATAAGACACAAATGCAATAATTGTGTGAAAGTCTGGACTTATGGTTTCAAATCAAGGATCAAGGATATCTGGCCTCAATGAGCTCATAGTTTAATACAAATCTCAGACATTTAATTTTATACTTTTTAGTTTTCACATAAGCAGCCATGTAAAATTATATCTGAATTAGAGTTATTAAAGGCAGGTATGTTTTAAAAACAAATCCTAAACAGGTGTAGGCCTAGTTGATAAATACATAATGATATCATTCCTTAAAATGGTTATTGAAGCTAAAAATACACTCAGTTTAATTTTATTAGAACTTTTTTTCTGAGATTTTTTTTGTATGCTTCTACTTGAAAAACGGTTACGTGTATAACTATATAAAATAAAATTACGAATCATCCTCCGATTAAAGAACACTAGTTTAAAACTCATTAATATTTACGTGTAAATTATGTATCTAGTAAATAGTTCGGGGTTTCACATCGAGTAGAATTTAAGCACTAAATTTATACATTTCACGTACTAACATGTAGCTTTATTAGCCTATGTGAAGGTAGGATCTGTACATACGCGATTCGAATGGTTGTGTAGCTTTATATATTTAGCTTTATAGTGTTACATTGATTCCTCATTAAGTTAAGGTATTTGTTGTTATTTATTGCAGAATTTCCAAAGCACAATTTTTACGTATAGAGCAATATTTGTATTTATCACTGTACATAATAAATATACAAGTCTTCATATTATTATTGTATTTTAATATTTACCTTTAATGTTATTTGGTTTCCCAACTCATTAAAATATTATTTTCACGAACTAAGCTCGGTTATAAAAGGATTGTCAATTTAAGCTAATTAGAAAAAAATCATAAATAGTTAAAATGACAACACACACAAATCCCAATATATCTACAAAGACCTCTACGAAACACTTTTATTACATATCCTTTCCACTATTTGGTAAATTTCGGAAAAAAACCCGCACCTATGTAAGTCTACCGCACCTAAAGGGTCTGCAGCTATTTTATATATAAAGACTAATGATGGATTGGGGATAAGTATGAGCAATTTATTTGCTATCATATAGACTACAAGATGTACCATACCATGAGTTTCAAATCTCCAAACTCCAATCTTTGATAATACATAACATACACAGACATCACATTGCCGTATAAAGGTGCTGCCAGTCTCTTTGTAATAACACTGAGTTAAATTTCATTAGATTTAACTTTTGTAAAACTTTGTCATCTTTCTGAGAAATATTTTAATCGTGTAAACATAGATTAAAAATATATTTCATGACTGCGATTGAACCAACCAATATCTTGAATGAAAGTCAATATTTACTACCACTCAGCTATGTACCAAGGCAGTTTGGAGTCTTGTCATTCAACGACTTGTCTGGAGGTCATAGTCAATTAATGATAAATCTGTAGTGCTCACCTTCAGATCTGAAGACTGCTGGGAACCAGATGTCATTGTATTTTGACAGTGCCGTGATTATGTCTAAGAAATGGGTAACACTGGATAGTTAGAATACCATGTTTTGGACTTGGACAAAAACCTTAAAACTGCCAATTACGTTTAAACAACTAGAAATAACTTCATTGTCTAAAGCTCCAATCCACGGCCCAACTAAGACTTATTGGGTTGATTGATTTACACCACCGAAGGATGTTTAAGGAGTGGGCTGGACCTGCACTTCCTTGGACGGCTTCATCCCGAGTTTCGGCTGTCGCCGTCGCCCATGTTTATGTAGAAGGTTGCCCGTGTTAGTACACGCAGAGGAGGCGGCGATAATGAGGCACTCCTAAACAATTGAGCGCCAGCCAAGGTGCAGCTTTTGGACTCAACAACACTGATACTAGGAAACTTGTAGCTCGAAATGGATGATGATTATAGTTTAAACTATGCACTCCTAGTTTCAGGTGTGTTGTTGAATTGTAGGTAATGTCTAACACGGATAGTGTGATCGACTATATTTTTTGGGGATTAAGTTTACTCATTCGTCGATGAACGCGAGCACGACCTCTGAGAAGACAATTTGATATTAGATAGAGGAAAGGCAATTAAACGCTTTTTGATCGACGAATGAGTGTCCTAGTGGATCGGAGCCAACCGTAGACTGAATGAATATAAAACACTACATATTTCTTTCAAAGACTAGCCAAGGGTATTCCTTAAATGCCAGAATATCTTTTGCAGCATTCGGAAACTTCTCCACTAAAAATCTTTATTACTCTTTATAACTTATTACTGACTGCAATATATTACAGTCATCCTTAAGGAGCCGGTCTACTGCTGGAGTAAAATGGCAACGCAGTTCAGCCGGTTGCCAGTAGCTGCGCAGTAACTTACCACAATTTTCTGTCAGTCCTCTACTGTATTAAGTTTCTTAGCCTACCAAAAAAAGACGAAAAATCGCTTATAAATATGACAACCTCTTATGTAACCGTTCCAAATCCAACGAATCAAACGCCCAATCCGAATCAGACAACGAATTACTGAACATCTAAATCGCAGCGGCACCTTGAAACAAAACCCGACTGAAACGAGTTTCTAATTCGGATAACTAATTCGAATCCATTCATCCAAGCACGCGATTAACCGTTGCGTTCTCACAGCTACCGGCGTAATTAAAAAGTAGGCTTTAGCAGTAATAGCGGCTACCAACGATCCAATACATATAAATACGAGTGTTGCTCGTAGATCATTCAGCACGCTTTGGTTAATTACCCGGAGTGAGTTACGAGACGGCCGCTTTTGATCTTTGGGTAGCTAATTGCGTATTGTTAGTTTTAAATTGAAATATTCAAATATGTCCGACCAAAGGTCATAATATTGTGTTAAATCTCCATCGGATGAATAATGGTCAGTGTAATGTGAATGTTTGCTCGAGATTGTATCCGGGTTTCGTGTTTTGAGTTATGAGTTTACATGTTTGGAACACCGGTTAGTGGATGTGATTACATTGGGCAATGGATCGCGTTTTAATACGAACTAGAGGTGGCTTGTCGAAAGTTCGAGCATAAATATGTAATGTACAAACTCGTATATTTTTACCCCCCGCTGTAAATAAAACATGTGATTGGAATTTCTTTCATTTGTTTTGATTTTCTGTTTAAATTTCGTAGTTATTTCATTCCAGTATGGCAACCCATAAGGTCCATGTTAATAAAAAAAATTCATTTTTTGTACTTATCTTTGAGCCTATTTTAATTTATAAAGGGATTCTGTACATCTACAGGAAAATATCTCTCTAGCAAAATGCGTAGATTTTCCCTGCGATGCTTACTTATAAGATGCGAGAGCTTAGAATTTGAACCGTGTACTGAGAGCAACAACCAAGGACTTTATTGATACTGATAATTAATCAAATGAAATTAACCCACTCACAAAAAGTTAGTTTAAAGATGTCTCATAATACTATGTGGGCTGAGTCGGGTAGTACATTAAAAAACCTTGCACGGATCAACATTGTACGAGTTGCCTGACACTGCATAACGTCAGTCATAGTCCCTCTGTAGTTGAAATTATGAAAATGTTATCAAAACTTTCAGTAAGTAAGTTTAATGTATTTGAATTGAAAAAGTCAATATTCAAACGTATCCACGTCACAAGATTAGTTCGCAGGGTAAATATGTTTAAACATAAGAGTGCCGATTAGTTAGAACAAAAAAGTATCTACGTCACATTGTATCACTAATGTTGTTTTTTCTTTTTTTATATATTAGAATTTGATAAAAAGTTGCCTGATAGTTATCATTTGAGTATTTTGAAATTTATAACCAAATACGCAAGCATAAGTAAAACAATACTTCACAATACCACTGCCAATGTGATAGTCATCTACGATTTTTAGTTGATTCATTTTAATTAATCCAAGTAAATTGTTACTTGTAAATAGTTAAAAACCTATACAGTTTGAAATTAATTTAGTGAAAGTTCTTATATTTTTGACGAAGCTAAGCTTTCGTTCTTTCATCACGATTATAATAAATTATACAGTAATTTATATCTATAAAGTTTTTTATAAATATTATAGAAAGAACTGGTCCCAAAAGCCTGCAACGTATAAAATGTCAGAAAAAATAGGAAAATAATAACCTATCTCAAGTTTTTCTTGGTAGCCGTGATAGAGTTGGTGGCTAATAAATAAGGAAAAAATCACCAAATAAAGTACACTAGAATGATACCTAATATAATCTCTCTTCTTCACAAGTATAAAAATGATTCAATTCTGTAACACAGTCAGTATGTTGTTTGATAGTTTATTAAATTGCCTAGCCCTTTTGAAATCCTATGGAGAAAGCAGAAGTAAGTTTATCACAGCGAGTACATTTTCTCGCTTTTCGTAAAATGTTAACTAACAGGCTAACAGAAAAAATGGAAACAACTAATATAGTCCAGTCAAAACTTGTTCCACCTCCATTTTAAAACATAGTCACTTATCTCAAGTACCAGGGCAGTTCCTTTATCATCAGTCTTTTATAATTGTAATGCAAATGCTAACCTAGGCTAAAACAGGCACTACATATAACAGATTTATACTACGCCCATCCTCTGTCAATTTTTGCGTCAAAGCACGCGTTAGTTTCGTCCCTGCTAAAAAATATAGCGGATTATTAAAGTTAATCTCAGCAGCAGCGACATTTTTTCGTGTCGTAACACTTCGGCCCAAGTAACACTTCGGCCCGAAACCCTCAGATGTGGCCTACGGTCCAACTCTCTACCTGCCCACTAGTAACACTTCGTCCCAACAAAATATTTGACAGGTTAGGTTAGGTTAGGTTAGGTTAGGTTAGGTTAGGTAAGATTCC